TACGGAACAGGATTGTTATGATTGGTTTTCTATCAAAATTCTTTACTCTAGATGTTTACTCTCAACGAGTTTCATAATAGGGTTGAAAAAGTGATAATAGTTTTCGCTGGCAGTACAGTTCGTGTATTCCTCGATAAAAAAGACTTCGTAGTTGTTTACGAGATACTTTTGATATTTTTGTCATATATCTGTTCGTATACTTTTGATTTTCAAACTTTTCTTTTTATAAACGTGTTTTGAAATGCTAATACTTACATGAATGGGATAATGATCAGATCCCCAGAGCTAATCATTAACTAAAATAGATATTTTATCACTTAGATTAGAAGATAAGAATAAATTTATATTGGAAGTATAGTCGCGATTTATAGCGACGTACATTTCGGTTTCAATATTATGAATAAAAAGACCGTGATCATCCATCGCATTATGAAATTATTTTCCGTTGCTGTTAGTTTTCTAACAATTCCACACAGAATTATGCGTATTAAAATCTCCTACAAGAAAGCAGTATGTTCGATTGTTTACATTGTCGAGGACAGAATCCCGTTGAACAGGCTCAAGTGTGAGGCCAGGGGATCTGTAACGTGCGATAATATTGATAGGAGAGTAATATTTTTAAAAGTTCGATTAAAGTGTCAAGACTAATTATATTCTGTATTTCGAAGAAAGCTAAACTTTTATGAATTAGAAAGAGTATGTCACCGTCTTTACCAGTCTCTTGTCCTTTCTAATCGGAAGAAATGCAGGGTGTCGAATCATATATTTTTCTTGGAGACCAGATTCGACACATGATAATGTCTACAGCTTAGCACTAGTTCGATGTCAGTCAATTACTCTTCATAAAACTTCTAATGTTCCAAAAAATTAGATTAACTTTTAGATTTGATTTGTTAATTGCTCAAGTCATTTTTGACGCTAAGTTGGTTTACTAGTTAAAACTTTCTTGACTATTAAAATTACTACTGACTTAAAGTTTTAGGGAGGTATTGCTCGCTGATATTTTTTTCATCGTCCTATTAATTCCAGATATCAAGTTACTATCAAAGATAATGTCGTGAGTATCTTTAAGTAAGGAAATGAGGTCGGTTGTATTATTTGTATATTTTTTTGCAATATCTAGAACGTGAAGGCTGCCATGAGTGACGGCTAGAAAATTCGCGAACTTATCTTAGCTGAGAGGACACTTTTTTCTTCTAACTTGAACAGTTGAGAAACAGATGAGAGTTTTGCTTTGATTGGGTCAATGTATGCTTTATATGAATTTTCATCTTTTCTTTAAGTGTAAATTTCGTCGTGATCTTCTTTTGCGAGATTTAGAGGCGAGTTTGAGCTTACATGTGAGAAGATAAAGCTAGTTGTTAATGATCTAAACTTTTTGATAGACTGATGAAACAAAAGAGTAACAAGCTTCGACAATGATTTCAGAAGAATAAGCAAATCGAGTGAGTTCAGGAGGGATAGATGTATCTATAAATTCAATAATGAATACATAACTCACTGTGTTTGAACAATGAATCAATAGATTCTATATTATTAATCGGGCCATCAGTTATTTTTGTTTTTTTCGTGCTTGAGGAATGCTCGAAATTTTCGGATGATGTAATATTATTCGCGATGTCTGTGCTACAAATGAATCACTTAATTATGTCTGAGCTAGAATAGATAAAGTACAAGAATTCTCTGAAATCAATATTGATTATTGCAGGAATTTTAGAAAAATCGTTAGGATCAATATATGTTTATATTCGAGAACTCAAAATGTGTTCGTAGCTTTCTTTAGAGATAGATGCTTTCAAGGTATAGGTGACAGTCTTAACGTTTAATTTATCTAAAATGTCTTCTATTATATGATGAGGAAAGCCAGAGTTACTTTGGAGAAAATCAATCTTTCTTGCTAGTAGCAAGCTGTCTGATTGTAATTTTGATCTATAATTTTTATGGAAGAGTAATTGTCAATAATATTTTCTACTAATTCTTTGGAAGCTAAGTAAAGGCAAACTAGATTTTTTTATTGTATAGTAGAATAAATTATACTTTTAGCTTTTTAGCTAGAACAATTTCACCAATGGTACATGTATAATCTGTCAATGTCAGACCTTCAGCACAGTCCACTATCAAGCCTGGCTCTTTAACTGGAAACTTACTTTAAGTTGCAGTTGCACAACTAATATTAGATTCTTTGTTGACTTTGTCCGTAAATATATCGGACTGAGAATTCTGAATGAGTTGACTATTAACAAGAGCCATTTTTCGTTGTTGATAGGTTGTTCCTTGGAACACCCAAAATCGAGAGCGCTGCGACGGACCAACCTCTGGAGTTTCGCGCACTAGAAACTCGCAAGCAAAAATAACCACGTCTACTCTCGACAATGGCCCAAGCCAAACTCAAGTACTGTTTCATTACAACACACCAACATAGTCATCCAATATCGTCGTGACCAAATTGCCTGAATTGTGCTACGAGCTGCTGTCACATCTACCGCACTCACTTTATGTAAACTTGGTAACATTCCTGATGAAATTAGAAAATTTCTTAATTTTCTTATTGTTGAAAAGTATATAAGACATGCTTTCAAAAGAAATTCAACTATGGTCGCTGGTGAAGAAAGATTTACTTCTGCTCGAAAGACACGGTTTTTAGCAAACAGTGGTTATCAAAGCAAGATAACGTAGTGATAGAGCCTAGTTTTCAATAGTAAAAATTGTTTGAAAAATGTTGCTGTAGATACATTTTGCAACAATTCCAACTTTTCTGGCAACCAACAAAAATGTTATAAAAATGTTGCCAAAATGTTCAAAATGACCGCCTTTGTTTCTAAAATAATGCAAATGTTGAGTTGACATTTAATACTTGCTTGTAAAAATGGTGCGCGAATGTTGGTCTAACAAAAAATGCCTTATCTAACATTGAGAACAGATTATTGCAAGATTCAGTAAATATTTCATAAACATGTTTAAAAATATTGTAAAAATGTAAAATTGTAAAAAAACACAAAATATACCTCACGAAATGAAAAATTATAACGAGCATTCTAGAAATGTTTTGGTAACAATATTATGGAAACAAAAATGGACATTACGCATCTTGTGGCAAAACTTTTATATCATCTTTTTGGTTGCTGCAAATGTTGAGGATGTTAAAAGACGTATGTTCCAGCAACATTTTTTAAATAATTTTTGTTGCTTAAGTTTTCAGTAATATTAATCTATTGAATCATTACAATCAAAAAGTACCTTGTAATAATAATTTAATTTCTTTAAAACAAAAAATCTACATAAATAAATGCAACATTTGATAGTATCAATAATAATAGACATTTAAGAAAAAATATAATTCAATTTGGATCTTCCACTTCAAAACCCTGTATCCATTATGAACTAGGTCAGAATGCATCAAACAAACTATGTATTTGTATTATAATTAAATTAAAAAATTACCCATGTTTTTTCTTTTAATGTACTTGCAATTATTTTTTATATTTACAATTATTTATAAAAGATGATTTAATCAATTTTTAGAAGTTTCTTATATAAAGACAAATTTCACTTTTTTTATCCATGATGCAGTTATTTCAAATCGATTAACTATAATAAATTCAAATCTGATAAAAGTTTTTATTGTGATTCTTTACATAAAATCACTGAAGTTAATAGTTTTTCAAAATGACAAAAAAATTAACTCAAGTAATTTTTTCCATTTAACTATAAATGATGTAGTTAATTTAATGCTGTTTGCAGTTAGTTTTTCCTGATAGTCAAGTAACTTTTGCTACCTATTATATTTTTTATGACTTTTACACTAATAAATTTAATTCTAACAGTGTTGTGCAGGTTTTGGTTGTGACTTTTCCCATAGAAAGAACAGGTGCTCATAATTTTTCAAAACAATCTTTACAATAATTTATTTAAATAACATTTTATAAACAACTTGTAAAAAAAATACTAATAAATTGTTTTTCAATTTGTGTATAAATATATAGTTAGTTTGATGCTATCTTGCCTTAATTTTACATAGATTTTAATGAGTCAATCAAAGTATTAAATGAGGAATATATGTTACTTAAAAATTACAAGAGGTTATTACCAAATGACTTGTATACCAAAAAATGGTAAAGTAAACAAATTTAAATAAATAATAAACTTAAGTAAATAAACTTAAGTAAATGTCTATGACTATATCATGAAAAATCAATAAGAAAACTGTAATAAATTTATATGCAGCTGACTCATACATTAGTTATTTTATGTATTGAGTTCTGCCTGCATGTAACTCAGACTATTTGCCAAGATTTACAATTTTGATGAAGTTCACCTCACTAGCTGCAACTATCTAAGCTATAAACATCTTCTCCATATCGTACTCTTCCTCAACTTATCCAAGATACATAAATAACTCGAGATACATAAATAATTAAAATGGTTGGTTGCTAAAAACATTTGATATTAAGTTTCCAGAAAAAGGAAGAACTTTTATTATATCTTAAATGATTATCAATTAGCTTATTGAAACTCTTCAAATCCTAATCATATTGTATTTAATGTAACTAACATGTAATATGTATTATTATAGTATACATGTACTTCATTACTAAAACTGTCTAATATCAAAATTTTTTCTTTTTTCTGTTAAAAATGTGTAAATACCTTTTGTATAGAATAATTAATTACAATACAATTAATATAATATTATAATTTGTATGTTTATACATTAGAAAGTACATTCTAGATAGTTTGTCTATCTAAATAATTTCTTCAAAAGTTACTCTAACTTAAAAATATCATTACTGTAAATTAGGGAATCTTGAATCTAAAATAATTTTGGAAGTTTTAGACAATAAAAGCAGACAAACTTTGTAAATATATGTTGAAAAATTGCAGGAAACTTTTACATGTCTTTGTATATATGCATATGTAAGTCATATTTATTTTAACTTTTAAAAATAATAAAGATCAAATATATAATTTAATAAGTCATCACGAATAATTCTTGCTCTTACCTATGTCACTTTCATTTAAATAAAACTGTGATCCTAAATCATCAATTTGACAAGCAATATTATCATGTAAAGTCACTGATTTGACTCCTCCAAGAATCACATTTTTTGCCACTTCAACACCTAATCCACCTAATCCAGAAATAAGTACATCTGAACTTGCCATACAACGCATAGCATCATGACCCAATACATATAACTGTCGAGAGTAGAGTCCTTCATCAATGTCTGAGTGTATTTGTACTGATTTGGAGTTAATTTTTGCCATTTCTGAAAAACTTGAGAGGTTTCCTGAACCTCCTGGTGAATTGGCAACACGACGTTTTTTGTTAGGAGGATTAACAGAATTTTCCACCACTTCAGCACTAGACATCGGACTTTACAAGAACCTATTTAATATACTGTTGATTGCTGATAAAAAGTTATAGATATTTAGATAAAATACTAATAACGTAACTGCAGCTTGATGGATACTACAGTGATGAAATGATTATTCTGAAAAATAAAAGCATTTATCATAAATTGATTAACTCTGAATACAATAGCTCAACTGAGGCCACTTGCTCACACAATATTCAGAATATGAAAACATCAGATATTATAATCATTTTATTTTATTTCACACAAAGTGTTGTATATACTATTTCAATGTTGAATATGTTTTTAAATGTCTAATTAGGATTTGTTCTAAATTAAAAATTAATACTTCTGATATGTAAAAAAACAGTTATATTCGTTCATACTTCAATAATAAATACAAAAAATAATCTGAGAAATATTTAAGGATATATTATTCAAATAAAATCTGGCATGAAGCTTAATTAGTAACAGCAAATTCATAAAAAATAATCAATCGAGCAGAAACTTGTGTATAGTTATAATACTGACTAAACCTTAGAAATTCATAAACTACATTATAAGATATTTATATTCAAAGTTTAGATCTCAAAATTCTTTGAAGTTAGTTTAAGAATATTTTAGTATTTTTAAACTTCACAAATATGAATAGTTAACTTGAAAAGGTCAATATTCTAGACAATTAAGTTTGATAGTTCTTATTAAAAAATTATTACCTAAAATTACGACGTTCGTCAAAAAATATTAGATAAAATTAAAAATATGGTTGAAAACACAAACATAAAATTTCCTTCTTTCTCTCTTTTTAAAACTTTTTAATGATATTCATATATATTCACTAATTTCCTGCCTTAAAAATATGTTGAAGGGCCTCAATATTACCGATCTGTCAGAGTTAAATAATTACTATATACGTTTGACATGAAGTTCTAATGCTAGGATTGTTCCTAAGCCGCACAAGATCTAAACAAAGAGAACTTACCATTTAGAGAAGATACCATTTAGCACATAAAATTCAAAAATTTAAGATAATCGGGAAAATAGAGCTCTGTGAATTTAACACCCGTTTATCACTTTCATTATTTATAAAATATCTAATGATTTGTTCGATAACTGCACATCACATACCCGCAATAATATAAGTTATTGAACATTTGCTTAGAACAGATATAAAAAATAAGGTAAACAACAATTTTCACGCAAAGGCTCTATAAACAGTGTCGTATTCAGCCCTGTTGATAATAATGACGTAATTAAAAGGCGTCATCCTCCTTACCCCAGCCAGCAAAGTGTAACGGACAGTGAAAAAAATACCATTCGAAATATCTCTAATTAAACTTTCCAAAAATGCTCATTATTTTAATTGAACCCCTTCAGTTGTCCAAAAAAAAATTAAGAACTATGATAATTTTTTCGTTTTTTGCAACTGCGATATCTTTATTAATACTTAATATTTTTGCAAAGAAACAAGGCAAAAAATTGAACCCTTGCTCGTTTTAATTGCACCCCTCTTACTTTTTCAAAATTATTAATATATATGTCACAAACAACAATCTAATTTTATTGTATGTTCTTTCCAAATAACCCTATAGCCTATCTATTTTGAAAAAACATACAATAAAATTAGATAGTTGTTTGTGACATATATATTATATAACGGAGTGATTAATCCGTTCTGTTTCGTTATTTCGCTCGACACGCAATCGTACTGGAATGCTCGCGGTGAAATCGAAATATTCGCGTTTATTAATCGGAGCCCTGCTAAAACAAGGACATTCAACCGGATTGAAAATCCAATCCGCTTTGAATCTATTTCTGAATCTTACAAATGATAATTGAAATTCATTAAAGTAGAATGAATCTTAATTGACTTTAATGTTTTTTTATCCTGAAATTAATTTTACATATTATAATAATTAATTTCAGGATAGAAAAATATTAAAGAGATTCAGATCGATTCCAGTTTGATAAATTTAAATTGTCATTTGTAGGATTCAGAAATAGACTCGAAGCGGATTGGATTTTCAATCCGGTTGACTGTCCTTGTTTTAGTAGGGAGAGCAGGTGGGGACGGGAATCAGTCAACCAACTTACTACTAGCTAATAATGAAAATAGTAAAATTATCGTTTCGATCATGAGTTAGTTTATTTTCCGATAACACTACAAGACGCTTGGCCCGCGTGTTTATATTTACGTAGCGCGTGCGACAATAACATGCATCGCCGGATCGTCCGCAGTTCTTTGGTCGCAAAGTTAGTTTACATGCACGCTACCGATTTTTACAGAGTTGCCGGTAAAAAAGGAATAGTAATTAATTAAGCGCAGTCATACATTAAAAATCGCGGTACTAACCTGGCCAGCTTACCTTAATATACGGTCGCACTATCGGGGGGAGGGGGGAACAGGTTCGTATTACCGCTTCCGGTATCTCAGTTTAATCGAAGGAGGGGATTGGAGCTCTCGGTATGGCTTACGATGGCGAAACTCCTCACCCATACACACACTCGTAACGGTAGCAACAAAAGTATAAGTTTCCGTAACTGTCAGCTGGATCACTTCCACACTCGTGGAAAACTTGGAAAACTCGTGTTACTGTTATATGTAGTTGGATGCTCGGATTGCTAATCCTCGATTGGTTCTTTCATATTCGCGCGCATTCCGTCCCGTCTCGTACCGAGTTCCCTTTTTCTATTTTTCCCAACCGGTAGGTGCTGCCCTCGTAGGTAGCCGCGTGATTGAGACGGTAGCGCAAACAAGACGTTTACCGTCACAATTAATAATTTTGAAAAAGTAAGAGGGGTGCAATTAAAACGAGCAAGGGTTCAATTTTTTTGCCTTGTTTCTTTGCAAAAATATTAAATATTAATAAAGATATCGCAGTTGAAAAAAACGAAATAATTATCATAGTTCTTTTTTTTTGGGGACAACTGAAGGGGTTCAATTAAAATAATGAGCATTTTTGGAAGGTTCAATTAGAGATATTTCAAATGGTATTTTTTTCACTGTCCATTACACTTTGCAAGCTGGGGTAAGGGGGGTCGTGTTCAGCTTGACTTGGCGGCAATCTCTCTCTCTCTCTCTCTCTCTCTCTCTCTCTCTCTCTCTCTCTCTCTCTCTCTCTCTCTGGTGAGCGCCGCACGCACTTTACATCGGCTCCAGGTTTTTACAGTTTTACTAATATAATTTTGTTGCACCTCTGCGAGCAACTTGTTCCAGGTGATGTGTAGTCCAAGGGGCAGCTAGGCTTGAGATAGTTAGTGCATAATTTGCCCTGGAATTACACATTACCTCAATCTACAGTTGTCACATAACCTGTTCCATCTCAATCCGGACGTACGTGAGACTTCAGCAGCTACTGGTATCATCTGGCATCATTTCGCACTACATAGATTTCTCCTGCACATCGGTTTCCTGCAACATCGGCTACTAAAGAACACATTGTCATCGCCTACGCACCGCTTTAGTAAGAGAGAAACATCAAAAATTTAATTTAATAATTATCCGGCTGTGCCCTTAATCAATTTCTCCTGTATCCGTCATCGTTGCCTCTTCGATTGAGTGATTTGTTTTATTGTTTCTGTTAGTCATCAGCCAATTTATTATTAAGCGACCTATTTGAAGTACTCATAATTCCGAGCGCCATTTATGTTAAGTTCCTCCGCTAATTAATATTCCCGCTAATTTTTCCAAATTTCCCGCGAAATTCGAAATATCTTGCATTTCATGTACCTGCGGGTAGGAGTCACGAATCTCGTTTACTCTTGTTCGCGCCAAATTTTCTATGTATCACATTCATACTATCTTGACCATTTCGACTACGTTAATTTGCTCTTTCCTCTCCAGTTTACTACTGTGGGCAAAAAGTAAGGTGAATTTTCAATTTAAACTTCGCGGGCTTAACATTTCGGGCTAGTTCTTTTTTTCTTGAGTTGGTAGGACTGCGAATGACATCTGGGACAAATTTGATGTCAATGTCATCATCAGTAATATATTTACGCTTGTATTTACCAAACGACCAAGAGTGCATGTTTCGATTTTTACAATGTCTGATTTAATTGAGCAAAGAAGTGCCATCAAATTTTGTTTGCGGAATGAAATTTCGGCTGCGGAAACGTTGAGGATGTTGCGGAAGGCCTTTGGTGATTCTACCATGTCGCAGAAAAATGTTTATAAGTGGTACAAAGACTTCAAAGAGGGTCGAGAACGTGTTGATGACTTGGAGCGCTCCGGACGACCATCGACGTCAACAGATGACCAACACGTCAATAAAGTGAAGGAATTAGTGCTCGAAAATCGTCGGTTGACTGTTAGAGACCTTACTGATATGATCGGAATATCAGAAGGATCTGTGAAAACAATTTTGAAAGACCATTTGGGCCTACGAAAAGTCAAATCTCGTTTGGTACCGAAAACGCTCAATTTCTTGCAAAAAAGTCGCCGCGTTGATGTGTGTGAAACAATGCTTTCTGACTATCAGGACAAGCTCAAATGCATGATTACGGGAGATGAGACTTGGATTTATGCTTACGACCCTGAAACAACCGACCAATCAAGCGAATATCGTGCTAAAGGCGAGGCCAGACCGAAAAGAGCACGTCAAAGTCGTTCAAAAATCAAGGTCATGATGACAGTTTTCTTCGATTTTCGTGGTGTGGTGCACTATGAATTCCTTCCACCCGGCCAAACTGTTAATAAGGAATATTATTTGAGCGTTATGCGTCGTTTGCGTGAAGCAATTCGTCTAAAAAAACCAGAATTATGGGCCAACAACTCTTGGTTTTTGCATCACGATAATGCACCATCTCACACTGCACTCGTTCTTCGTGACCATTTCGCCAAAAATTCGACGCATATCGTTCCGCAACCACCGTATTCGCCTGATTTGGCTCCGTGTGACTTCTGGCTATTCCCAAAACTCAAGAGACCACTCCGGGGAACGCGTTTCGAGTCGATTGAGGAGATAAGAGCTGAATCGAAGAAGGCGCTGATGGCTATACCGGAAAGGGACTATTTGGCATGTTTCGAGGATTGGAAAAAACGTTGGCATAAGTGTATTTTATCGGGAGGGGATTACTTCGAAGGGGATGACATTGATGTAGAAGAATAAATAAAGATTTTTCATTTTACAAACAAATTCACCTTACTTTTTGCCCACAGTAGTATTTACTTGTTGAGTTTAACGTAGTTCGACTCCCTCTTAATCCTCTAAACCTTAAACCTGTAATCCCTTACGATTTCTTAATGTCAATTAGAGACTGTGCTAAGTGTTACCTTCC